CCGGCCACTTTATTAAGTACACCTGTCTAACCCCTCGTTGACACAAATTTCTAATCAGCTAATCACATGACAGCAACTCAATGCATTTAGGCATGTAGATGTGGTCATGACCAGGGATCCTCAACCCTGTTCCAGGAGATCTACCTTCCTACAGAGTTCAGGTCCAACCCTGATCAAACACACATAAACCAATTAATCAAGACCTGGACCGTACTTGATAAGCACTTGATAATGTGTCAATGCCACAGTCTACCTGACTATTGTTGCTGACCATGTGCATCCCTTTATGAACACAGTGTACACATCTTCTGATGGCTACTTCCAGCAGGATAACGCACCATGTCATAAAGCGTGAATCATCTCAGACTGGCTATTTGAACATGCAAATGAGTTCACTGTACTCAAATGGCCTTCACAGTCACCAGATCTCAATCCAATAGAGCACCTTTGAGTGTGGTGGAACGGGAGATTCACATCATGGATGTGCAGCCGACAAATCTGCAGCAACTGTGTGATGCTATCATGTCAATATGGAGCAAAATCTCTGAGGAATATTTCCAGTACCTTATATTCAGTACCTTTCAGTACCTAATATATATATATATATATATATATATATATATATATATATATATATATATATATATATATATATATATATATATATATATATATATATATATATATATATATATATATATATATATATATATATATATATATATATATATATATATATATATATATATATATATATATATATATATATATATATATATATATATATATATATATATATATATATATATATATATATATATATATATATATATATATATATATATATATATATATATATATATATATATATATATATATATATATATATATATATATATATATATATATATATATATATATATATATATATATATATATATATATATATATATATATATATATATATATATATATATATATATATATATATATATATATATATATATATATATATATATATATATATATATATATATATATATATATATATATATATATATATATATATATATACAGATATATATATATATATATATATATATATATATATATATATATATATATAT